TCCTCCTTGGTTTCTTGTGCTGTCTTCTTTATGTCATCTATCTCTATTTTATTATCTAATTAATTTCACTTTTGGAATTTGGTGAAGTCTTCTCTGAGTTCATTCAATTGTTTCTGTGTATTCTTGAGGTTTTTATTTGTGTTGTCTTGATATTCTTTGAGTTGTTTTTGTATGTTTCCTTTAAATTTATCTTGAAGCTCCTTTATGAGTATTCTATGAGAACCTTTTTGAGCTCTTCCATGAGCATCTCTTTACAGACCTCGTTTGGCTCATTAGACAAAATTATCATCATTCTACTCAGGTCAAGTGCTGGGTGTTCAGCTTCTTTATTTTTCACTCAACCTTCTACTAAATTGTTAGTTTCTTAAGGGGTTGTATTCCCTCACATTCTTCCTCTTCCCATTTTTTGAAATACGCTTTGCTCATAAGAGTCATATATTATTCACTGGCTACTTGGGGGTTTTAATCCCCTGTTATCTTTCCTTTACTTAATTACTGTCCTGTGACTGGTTTAGTCATTAGCTAGGTTGAAGTTATATTTCTGTTCCCTGACCTGGAAGCATAAATTAGCAATAACAAACTCACTGATTCAATACCAAATTATTATTTATATAAATTGGTAGTATTATCTATAAGCAGTGGGAATTAGTGGGATAACATTTGTTTGGATAGCGATAGATACTTAGATAATTAAAAAGATAGCACTAGAGGAGGGAGCAAGAAGGGCGAGTTGGGTAAGGGGAAGGTGTGGTGATGTGTGGGGCAATATGGTAATAATTCCCTAATGTGTGTTAAGGTATAGTTCTGTCATTTTGGGGGAAGGTGGTATGGTAAGGGATTTCTGAGGCCTAAGAAGTCTGGAAAAATGTGTAAAGTTGGTATAATAGACTATATTGTGGGTTTTGGGTGTTGGGGAGTTTGGGCAGAATAATCAGTGGGCAGAAAGTGAGAGAAGAGGAAGAAGGTAAGAAGAAAAAAGGAAGGGAGCTATGAAGGAGGGAAAAGAGAAAAAATTGAGGAAGATACACGAAAGTGAAGCAGTACAGGGCTGAGCAAATTGGCATTTGGAAAGAATAAAAGAGTGGGGTAGGTAAAAATAAAATGGAAGAAAATAAAATTAGAAAATTCAATATATATGTATATGTACATATATTTATATAATACATATCATATATAATTAGTTCAATGAATGTTGTAGATTCTTTCCTCTGATTTCAAATCCAGGTGCAGATACTTTTTGCAGGAATTTAAGGTTGGCATGCTAGACTGCATGGCAACAGATTTAACCCTGCCTATTAGACAGCTTCAGGGGGATCATCTCATGGTATTTCAGCCCAGTCTTCCTTAGTGGGATGGGCCCTCCGGTGTCGGAGGGGTCTCACAAGTGGTCCAATGATCAGCTGGTATATAAGCACTTGCCAGCCACTTCCTCTCACAGGGCAAGACTGTAAGATAGAATTGAGGTTTTCTCTTGGAAGACTGTCAGTATCAGTTCACTCTCAATATCTCCACAGCTGTGGTCAGTTGCCTCACCCCTACATGGGCTAATTCAGCTCTACATTCTGCTCCTTCCTTTCCTGGCAGAGAAGAAATATTTCTTCTGTGTATTTGCCAGCTGTTTTGTCCAGGGAAAGATCTATCTGCCCCCACATGTGGTATAATAAATGTTTCCCTCCAAAAGAGATGGCATTTCAGGCTAACCTGTCAGAATTGCAGACTTACTTGGGTGGAAATGGGTCAGATCCAGGGCAGCACAAGCAGAGCAGTCAGAGGTCCTTTGTCATGAGTATTTTGGTGAGTCCAACTCATCCCAGATGCTTGCTGATTTCTTTTTGCAGTTCTCTGCATTGTGTTTTTGTTGGCGGTGTTGCATACTCACTCAGGTGGAAACAGGTCAGCTCCAGGGCAGTGTAGGCAGATGGTAATCAAAGGCTCTGTGTCCATCAATGTTATAGCAGGTCCAGTTCATCCCAGAAGCTTGCAGTTCTCTTTCTGCAATTTTCTGTGTGGCGTTTTTGCTTTACTGACCAAGGCAAGAAGGAAATGAGAAAGAAAAAGAATAAAGAGAACAGAGGAGAGGAGAGGAAAAGAACAGAAAAGAAAAAGAAAAACAATGGATTCTCAACCAACAGGCAGATAGACTGGTGGTCTAATGTCTTCCTGAGCCAGCACCTAGGAGTTCTGTGCTATAAAAAGCTAATGTATGGGATACTCAATGAATATTATATGTCCCGTATGCAATGGTGGTGACTTAGCTGGCAGAGTCACCCGAACCTTCTAAATATGAAAATCTGGAGTATTGGCCTGAAATGGTGAAGGTCAAGGTGTCAGGGTCTGCCAGCTATTTGCCCTCTTGGTCTCTCCCCACCTTTTCCTTTTTTTGTTGTACAATAATCTGTCTGATATTTATTGAGTTTCTACTAAGTTATTGCAATTTCCTGTAAATGAAATATAATTTTGTTTAAATGTCTGGCTTTGTGCAAATACTATAATGTTTTTGTACTATGATTCTGTAGTATAATTTGAAAACAGGTACTGTGATACCTCCAGCATTTCTAATTTTGCTGAGGATTGCTTAAACTATTAAGGATTTTCTGTGCTTCCATATTAATTTTAAGATTATGTATCCACTTTCTGTGAAGAATGTCATTGGTATTTTAATTTTTAAAATGATTTGCCCATCATATTTTGCAATATGCTCAAAATGTATGTTTTACTGATCCTTGAACATGGGATCAGTAGATCTTGTAGTGATTCCTTCAATTGGTTCATTTATTAAATTTGAAATGTCTTTCACATGTTTGATGGGGTTTATTCCTAGGCATTCTTGGAAACTACTATATGGGAACAGTTTATGTGATTTATTCCCCACTTGGTCATTATTAGTCTATCAAAAGCTACCATTATTTGTATGCTGGTTTTTTATCTTTAATATATTTATCAGATCTAAGTGATTTTGATTGAATTTCAAGCGTTTTCATAAGACAAATTAATCTGAATATAGGAATAATTTGTCTTCTTCCTTTGCTACTAATATCAATTTTATATCTTTCACTAGTCCTGTTTCTTTGGATAAGAATACAAACCACATATTGAATAAAAATTGAGAGAGTGGTGACCTTAGTCTCATCCCTCATTTTAGATTAAATACTTTCAGTTTTCTTCCATTCATTAATGTTGGCTATAGGTTTGATTATATAGCCTATTTATGCTATGGTATGATTCTTACATTCCTAGAATCTTTGGGGTTTTTATCATGAAGTGATGTTGAATTTGTCAAAGAATTTGTTCTGCATTTCTTGAGGTCTTGTGATTTTTCTGTTTGATTCAATTTATATGTTGTATTATGTTTATTGTTTTGTTTATGTTGGATCATCCTTGCATTCCTGGGATGAAACCAACTTCACCTGGATATGTAGTTTTCTAGTTGTTGTTGAATTTACTTTGTAATTACTTTATTGAATATTTTTGTGTCTATGAACATTAAAAGTATTGGTTTATTGCTTTCATTTTTTGGTGTATCCTTATCTGGCTTTAGTATAAAATAACTGTTTTTATAGAGTGAATTTGGTGTGTTCCTTTTCAAAGTGTGTATAAAGCACTTTGGAGAGTATGAGTGTTATTACTTCTTCAAAGATCTGTTACACTTAAGCAGTGAGCCCATGTGGTCCTGGGCTTTTTCAAGAACATTAATGAAAGACATGACACATTGAAAGTACTATTGGAAAACAGTTCAACACATGGGCATAGGCAATGACTTTTTGAATAGGACTCAAATAGAACAGGAAATGAGATCAATTACTGACAAATATTATTAAATCAAATGAAAAACTTTCTGTATAACATGGGATATAACAAAATTAGCACAAAGAATGGGAGATAGAATTTCCAGCCATTCTTCTGACAAGGGACAGATACCCAGAATATAGATAGATAGATAGAGAGATACCCACAATATAGATAGATATGATATATATAAAAAAATTAACACCCTAAGAACAAAATTCAAATATTATGGACATCAATATAGCAAATTTTCAATATGGCAGTTCTTACTAGTACCTAGAAAGGGGACTTTTCCATATGATACCATTGTATCTCTCCTGGGGATATACACAAAGGAATTAACATCAGCATACAATATAGATAACTGCTCATCCATGATTTTTGCTTCACTATTTAACAATAGTGAAATTAAGGATGGCCATTAACATATGAACAAATGAAGAAAATGTGCTTCATATAAACAAGGAACAATACACAGCTATAAGAAAAACTAATTTTTATAATTTACAAGATTGGAAAGTGGTTCTGTGATAAGTGAAATAAGACATCCTCATAAAAACAAATATCTCCTGTTTTGTCCCATGATGCAGTATCTACATTGAAAAAAGAAAGATATGAATGTAGAAGAGTAACTATTTAAATATATATAGGGAGGGGGCAACTGGATGATAGGGGTGAGTATTATTGAATTCCATTTGCTTTTTGTAAATATTTTATTGGGTTAAACATGCAGAGCAAAAGTGACATTTTAATCAATATCAAATTCACAGCTCAGTGGAATTGATTACATTCACAGTGTTGTGTGTTCATTATTGTCTTCAATATCCATAACCTCCTTGTGTTTGCAAACTGAAACGTTATAAACATTTAGAAAACTTTCATCCATCTCCAAAGTTTGTCAACCACTATTGTAACATGAAATCTCATTAAAAATTACATACTTTACATAAGAAAAATACCATGAATTAATAGGCAGAATCTATATGTATTACTTTTTTAAACTTTAAAAGTATGTAAGAAAATAGTCCAATGAAACCCGTTTTAATCATTTTAAGTATGGGAGAGGGGAATGAAGAAGTAGGATGGTGGGGTATACTTAACCAAGGTACATAGTAAGTGGGTATGGAAATACTAGTGAAACCCCCTGTACAATAAATGTATGCTAGCAAAAATAATAAAAATTACATTGCAGATAGCTATCATGCATCCTGGTATTAAATTATTCTGTTGCAAATTCTCCATAGGGCACTTGTGATATCCCTGTTCCTCAGACTGTAGATGAAGGGATTCAGAAGAGGAGTGACCATGGTGTACATTGCTGAGGCCACTGCACTGTTTCTGGGAGAATGTGATACTGCTGATCCAACATACACTCCAAGTCCTGTTCCAAAATATAAGCAGACCACTGATAGGTGAGACTCACATGTAGAGAAAGCCTTATATATCCTTCCTGATGAGGGGATCCTCAGAATGGAGTAAACAATTTTATAGTAGGAGAAAAAGATCCCTGAGATTGGGAAAATTCCATACACAGTAGCAATAAAATATTTAAATATGTTATTTACAAATGTGTTAGTACAGGGCAGGTCAAGTACTTGAGAAGGGTCACAGAAGAAATTAGCAATTTCCACATTCTTGAAATTGGTAATCTGCATTGCAACCAAAATATGCAGCTGCACTTCCAAGAAGCTAACCAAAAAAGACAACAGAACTAAGGAAACACAGAGACGAGAATTCATGATGACTGGGTAATTCAGGAGATGACATGTGGCCACAAACCGGTCATAAGCCATTACAGTTAAGATCATACTGTCCATACAGGCAAACATGATAAAAAGAGACATCTGTGTCAGGCAGCCCACATAGGAGATGACTCTGCTGTGAGTTTGAACATCAATAATCACCTTTGGGACCATGGTAGAAATGAAACAAATGTCAGTGAAGGATAGGTTGGAGAGGAAGAAGTACATCGGTGTGTGGAGGTGGGAGTTGGACCAGACAGCCAAGATGATGAACAGGTTACCAAACACTGTGACCAGGTACATGAATAGGAACAGTCCAAAGAGTACAGACTCCAGTTCTGGATCATCTGAGAATCCCATGAGATGGAATTCAGGGACTGGTGTTAAATTTTGTGTTTCTATTTTCCTAGGACACCTTTGAAATAGGAAAATGGGAAAAATGAAATTAATATGATCCTCCTTCCTCAGACCCCTGGGTTCTTGGATTGCAGGTTTGCTCTACCATGCCCAGCTATCTGCACATATTTTATTTATTCTGTTGATCTTTTTTCTTTTGAGTTTAGCTCACTTCATAGCCCATCTAACCTTGAACTGACTTTATAGCCTACACTATTCTCAAACTCACTCTTCTCTTGCTTCATATCCCAATTTCCAGGAATACAGGCAATCGCCACCACCCCCTACATAATTAATAAGTAAAGTATTCACACTCAAGCTCCACACAACTGCAGTGATACTTCTCAGTTGTGCTGTCAGTGTTGCTCACTCTCTTCTACACGTCCCTACACAAGAGACACTCAGCATACCAATATTAAAAAATCAAGAACATTGGCAATATCAAGTTCAGGTTTATAGCAGAAGAGCCTATTCAATTATGTTATGACACAGTTTACACTGTGGATACTATGGGTCAAAATCAGTAAACAGATTGTTCAGTTTGGACCTGTGTTTTTAATTTTTAAGCCAATATTTACAAATTTGGAAACTTAAATCTAGATTTTGACAAATGAAAAAAAAGGAAGAAATGCAAATTACTGGAAATGAAGAACAAATATATTCTAAGACAAAGCCCAAATAATTTGAAACATATATACACATATATATATATATATACATATACATATATATATACATACATGCATATATGTACACACATATATATGTGTATACACACATATATATGTATAGAGAGGATGAAAGAAGGAATATATATACATACAGAGGATATATATTAGTTATAACTATTTTGCACATATAATACATATTACATATTCTGATTCAAATGAATTTGTACCTTTATATGACTATAAATGTCTTTTCTCTTTATTTATTTATGGTATTAATTAAGGTTGGAACCAGGTTTCAGTGTAGGAGGCAGGTGCTCTATATCACTTGAGTCGCACCTCTAGTCACTTTGTTTATTTTTGAAATAGGGTCTCACCTTTTTCCTATAACCGTGATTCTCCTATTTTATGCTTCCTGCCATTGTTGGAATGACAGTTGCTTGACACTACACTCAGCTTTTATCCATTGAGATGGGGGGGTCTCATAAACTTTTTCCCAGACTCGCCTGAAACAGCGATCCTCCCAATCTCAGACTACATTGTACCTAGTGTTATAGCTGTTAGCCACATTGTCTGGTTGTCACTATTTTTTAATTGATACAAAATCAAAAACAAAAACTACAGGAACTAATGTTAATATGCATGAGTAGCTTCCTTATATGGAAAACTTGGATAATGATTACCTAATTCATAGGCCTAAATTAAGAATATTTACTCCCAAAATTAAAAGGTTGCTTAATTATTGATTCTTAATCTCATATGTCAATAAATTCACCAGTGTACCACATATACATATGAAACAGTATGATTAAACCTCTTCCAAATACCTTAAGTGGAGTTTGGGGTTGTGGTGGGGGAGATAGAGGGAGCAATCAAACCAATGTACAATGTAAAGCTATTTGAAATCCTCTCTGTGTAATGCATAAATCCTAAAAAAACTGAAAATTCTAGAATGCTAAAATGATTAAAATATTCAGATTCTCTGGCCTGAGATCAAAACCTATTAAATGACAATATCTGCTTTTGGCTTTCTTGGATCTCTTTCTTACATCAAAGCTGAAAACCACAGTCTTAAATAACATTTAGAGGATGCTACAAATGTATTAATTATTATTACTGCTTATAATATCCACCATGTAAATTAAAATGAAATACCTAAGAATATTTGCATGTGAGTTAATATTTTTAAAACATCTGAAAAATTAAAATGAAGTGAATTCTTTGTCTCTCTGTATGATTCCTTTCTCCTTGATAATTACTGCCCAAAGTTAATAATTGTCAAGAATTTGGTGGTTAGGATTTTCTGCAATTTTTTCTATGTCAGTATTAACTTACCTGTCCAGAAACAGTTTGCATAAACCTCATTAATCTAAAACTCATCTAAGTAGTATACCATACAACACATTTTCTCATGAAATGTACGAGTTTATATCAGCAAATTGTTTTAAGTCTCAGTGAGAAATGCTTGCATTTACTACAAATGCTTTGTCTAATGCATAAAATTACCTAAAGGAAGAAGACTTTGTAATCTTAATTTTATATTTAATCTATAAATTTATTTTTATGACACGTCTTTCAAAATTCTTTTTTTTTGGTATTTTTATTTATTTATTTATTTATTTATTTTCATTTTTCTTTTATTATTCATATGTGCATACAAGGATTGGTTCATTTCTCCACACTGCCCCCACCCCCTCCCTTACCACCCACTCCACCCACTCCCTCTCCCCCCCACACCCTCAATACTCAGAAGAAATTATTTTGCCCTTATTTCTAATTTTGTTGTAGAGAGAGTAGAAGCAATAATAGGAAGGAACAAGGGTTTTTGCTGGTTGAGATAAGGATAGCTATACAGGCATTGACTCACATTGATTTCCTGTGCATGGGTGTTACCTTCTAGGTTAATTCTTTTTGATCTAACCTTTTCTCTAGTACCTGTTCCCCTTTTCCTATTGGCCTCAGTTGCTTTAAGGTATCTGCTTTAGTTTCTCTGCGTTAAGGGCAACAAATGCTAGCTAGTTTTTTAGGTGTCTTACCTATCCTCATCCCTCCCTTGTGTGCTCTCGCTTTTATCATGTGCTCATAGTCCAATCCCCTTGTTGTGTTTGCCCTTGATCTAATGTCCACATATGAGGGAGAACATACGATTTTTGGTCTTTTGAGCCAGGCTAACCTCACTCAGAATGATGTTCTCCAATTCCATCCATTTACCAGCGAATGATAACATTTCGTTCTTCTTCATGGCTGCATAAAATTCCATTGTGTATAGATACCACATTTTCTTAATCCATTCGTCAGTGGTGGGACATCTTGGCTGTTTCCATAACTTGGCTATTGTGAATAGTGCCGCAATAAACATGGATGTGCAGGTGCCTCTGGAGTAACAGTCTTTTGGGTATATCCCCAAGAGTGGTATTGCTGGATCAAATGGTAGATCGATGTCCAGCTTTTTAAGTAGCCTCCAAATTTTTTTCCAGAGTGGTTGTACTAGTCTACATTCCCACCAACAGTGTAAGAGGGTTCCTTTTTCCCCGCATCCTCGCCAACACCTGTTGTTGGTGGTGTTGCTGATGATGGCTATTCTAACAGGGGTGAGGTGGAATCTTAGCGTGGTTTTAATTTGCATTTCCTTTATTGCTAGAGATGGTGAGCATTTTTTCATGTGTTTTTGGCCATTTGAATTTCTTCTTTTGAGAAAGTTCTGTTTAGTTCACTGCCCATTTCTTTATTGGTTCATTAGTTTTGGGAGAATTTAGTTTTTTAAGTTCCCTGTATATTCTGGTTATCAGTCCTTTGTCTGATGTATAGTTGGCAAATATTTTCTCCCACTCTGTGGGTGTTCTCTTCAGTTTAGAGACCATTTCTTTTGATGAACAGAAGCTTTTTAGTTTTATGAGGTCCCATTTATCTATGCTATCTCTTAGTTGCTGTGCTGCTGGGGTTTCATTGAGAAAGTTCTTACCTATACCTACTAACTCCAGAGTATTTCCTACTCTTTCTTGTATCAACTTAAGAGTTTGGGGTCTGATATTAAGATCCTTGATCCATTTTGAGTTAATCTTGGTATAGGGTGATATACATGGATCTAGTTTCAGTTTTTTGCAGACTGCTAACCAGTTTTCCCAGCAGTTTTTGTTGAAGAGGCTGCTATTTCCCCATCGTATATTTTTAGCTCCTTTGTCAAAGATAAGTTGCTTATAGTTGTGTGGCTTCATATTTAGATCTTCTATTCTGTTCCACTGGTCTTCATGTCTGTTTTTGTGCCAGTACCATGCTGTTTTTATTGTTATTGCTTTGTAATAGAGTTTGAAGTCAGGTATTGATACCTCCTACATTGTTCTTTTGACTGAGTATTGCCTTGGCTATTCGTGGCCTCTTGTGTTTCCATATAAATTTAACAGTAGATTTTTCAATCTCTTTAATGAATGTCATTGGAATTTTGATGGGAATTGCATTAAACATGTAGATTACTTTGGGGAGTATCGACATTTTTACTATGTTGATTCTACCAATCCATGAGCATGGGAGATCTCTCCACTTTCTATAGTCTTCCTCAATCTCTTTCTTCAGAAGTGTATAGTTTTCCTTGTAGAGGTCTTTCACATCTTTTGTTAGGTTTACACCTAGGTATTTGATTTTTTTGAGGCTATTGTAAATGGAATTGTTTTCATACATTCTTTTTCAGTTTGTCATTGTTAGTGTATAGAAATGCTAATGATTTTTCTATGTTGATTTTATATCCTGCTACCTTGCTATAGCTATTGATGATGTCTAGAAGCTTCTGAGTAGAGTTTTTTGGGTCTTTAAGGTATAGGATCATGTCGTCTGCAAATAGGGATATTTTGACAGTTTCTTTACCTATTTGTATTCCTTTTATTCCTTCTTCTTGCCTAATTGCTCTGGCTAGGAATTCCAGTACTATGTTGAATAGGAGTGGAGATAGTGGGCATCCTTGTCTGGTTCCTGATTTTAGAGAGAATGGTTGTATTTTTTCTCCGTTAAGTAGAATGCTGGCTGTAGGTTTGTCATATATAGCTTTTATAATGATGAGGAACTTTCCTTCTATTCCTAGTTTTCTTAGAGCTTTTATCATGAAATGATGTTGGATCTTATCAAAGGCTTTTTCTGCATCTATTGAGATGATCAAGTGGTTTTTGTGTTTTCTTCTGTTAATGTGGTTTATTACGTTTATTGATTTTCGTATGTTGAACCACCCCTGCATCCCTGGGATGAAGCCTACTTGGTCGTGGTGAATAATCTTTTTGAATTCGGTTTGCCATTATTTTATTGATGATTTTTGCATCAATGTTCATTAAGGAGATTGGCCTATAGTTCTCCTTTTTTGGAGGTGTCTTTGCCTGGTTTTGGGATAAGTGTAATACTGGCTTCATAAAATGTGTTTGGCAGTTTTCCTTCCCTTTCTATTTCATGGAACAGTTTAAGGAGGGTTGGTATCAGTTCTTCTTTAAAGATCTGATAGAATTCAGTAGAGAATCCATCTGGTCCTGGACTTTTCTTTTTGGGGAGACTCTTAATTGCTGCTTCAATTTCATTTTGTATTATAGGTCTATTCAGGTGATTAATTTCCTCTTGGTTCAGTTTTGGATGATCATATGTATCTGGAAATCTGTCCATTTCTTTTAGATTTTCAAATTTATTTGAATATAGTTTCTCAAAGTAGTCTCTGATGATTTCCTGGACTTCCATGGTGTTTGTTGTTATCTCCCCTTTTGCATTCCTGATTCTACTAATTTGGGTTTTTTCTCTCCTCATTTTAGTCAGGTTTGCCAGGGGTCTATCGATCTTGTTTATTTTTTCAAAGAACCAACTTTTTGTTTCATTAATTCTTTGTATGGTTTTTTTGGTTTCTATTTCATTGATTTCAGCTCTTATTTTTATTATTTCTCTCCTTCTATTTGTTTTGGGATTTGCTTGTTCTTGTTTTTCTAGGAGTTTGAGATGTATCATTAGGTCATTGATTTGGGATCTTTCAGTCTTTTTAATATATGCACTCATGGCTATAAACTTTCCTCTCAAGACTGCCTTAGCTGTGTCCCATAGGTTCCGGTAGGTTGTGTTTTCATTTTCATTGACTTCCAGGAACTTTTTAATTTCCTCTTTTATTGCATCGATGATCCACTCTTCATTAAGTAATGAGTTATTTAGTTTCCAGCTGTTTGCATGTTTTTTGTCTTTACTTTTGTTGTTGAGTTCTACTTTTACTGCATTGTGGTCAGATAGTATGCACGGTATTATTTCTATTTTCTTATATTTGCTGAGGCTTGCTTTGTGCCCTAGGATATGATCTATTTTGGAGAAGGTTCCATGGGCTGCTGAGAAGAATGTATATTGTGTAGAGGTTGGATGAAATGTTCTGTAGACATCTACTAGGTCCATTTGATCTATTGCATATTTTAGATCTTGGATTTCTTTATTGAGTTTTTGTTTGGATGACCTATCTATTGGTGATCAGGGGTATTAAAGTCTCTCACAACCACTGTGTTGGCGTTTATATATGCTTTTAGGTCTTTCAGGGTATGTTTGATGAAATTGGGTGCGTTGACATTGGGTGCGTACAGATTGATGATTATTATTTCCTTTTGGTCTATTTCCCCTTTTATTAGTATGGAATGTCCTTCTTTATCTCGTTTGATCAATGTAGGTTTGAAGTCTACTTTGTCAGAGATAAGTATTGCTACTCCTGCTGTTTTCGGGGGCCATTGGCTTGGTAAATCTTCTTCCAGCCTTTCATCCTAAGCATATGCTTATTTCTGTCGGTGAGATGAGTCTCCTGTAAGCAACAAATTGTTGGATCTTCTTTTTAATCCATTTTGTCAAAGGTGTCTTTTGATGGGTGAATTAAGTCCATTAACATTAAGTGTTAGTACTGATAGGTATGTGGTGATTCCTGCCATTTAGTTGTCTTAGTTGTTTGAAGGTTTGATTGTGTGTACCTAACTTGATGTTACTCTCTACTGTCTTGCTTTTTCTTTCCTGTGGTTTGGTGCTGCCTGCCTTTTCATGGTTAAGTTGGGTGTCACTTTCTGTGTGCAGATCCCTTGCAGAATCTTTTGTAATGGTGGCTTTGTGGTCACATATTGTTTTAGTTTCTGCTTATCATGGAAGACTTTTATTGCTCCATCTATTTTGAATGATAGCTTTGCTGGGTAGAGTATCCTGGGGTTGAAGTTATTTTCATTCAGTGCCCGAAGATCTCACCCCCGCTCTTCTTGCTTTTAATGTTTCTGTTGAGAAGTCTGCTGTGATTTTGATGGGTTTACCTTTGTATGTTACTTGTTTTTTCTCTCTTACAGCCTTCAATATTCTTTCCTTAGTTTCTGAACTTGTTGTTTTAATGATGATATGTCGTGGGTAGTTCTATTTTGATCTGGTCTGTTTGGTGTCCTGGAGGCCTCTTGCATCTGTATGGGAATATCTTTCTCTAGATTTGGGAAATTTTCCGTTATTATTTTGTTGAATATATTACGCATTCCCTTCGCTTGCACCTCTTCTCCTTCATGCCCATGATTCTCAAGTTTGGTCTTTTGATGGAGTCAGTGAGTTCTTGCATTTTCTTTTCACAGGTCTTGAGTTGTTTAATTAATAGTTCTTCGTTTTTCCTTTAATTACCATTTCATCTTCAAGTTCTGAGATTCTGTCTTCTGTTTGTTCTATTCTGCTGGATTGGCCTTCCATTTTGTTTTGCAGTTCTGTTTCGTTCTTTTTTCTGAGGTTTTCCATATCCTGGCAGTTTTCTCTTTATTGTTGTCTATTTTTGTCCTGAGTTCATTTATCCATTTATTCATTGTGTTCTCTTTTCACTTTGGTGTTTATACAGTGCTTCTATGGTTTCCTTTATTTCTTCTTTTGCTTTTTCAAATTCTCTATTTTTATTGTCTTGGAATTTCTTGAGTGTCTCCTGTACATTTTGGTTGACCCTATCCAGTATCATCTCTATAAAATTCTCATTGAGTACTTGTAGTATGTCTTCTTTTAAATTATTCTTGTGGGCTTCATTGGGTCCTTTGGCATAGTTTATCTTCATTTTGTTGGAGTCTGGATCTGAGTTTCTGTTCTCTTCATTCCCTCTGGTTCCTGTACTAATTTTTTGCTGTGGGGAAACTGGTTTCCCTGTTTTTTCTGTCTTCCGTCATTGTCCTTTGTTGTTACTGTCCCTGTACTGTGTGTAATTAAGTATTTTCTAGCTTGTAATAATAACAATGGTAATATTTAGAATGGAAGGTGAGCTGAGATGGAAAGCAAGAAGTTAAAGAAAAGGGGAAAACAAATATACAGACAAGAGGGAGAAAGCAGAACAAGGTATCAGACAAGAGAGTTTCAAAGGTATAAACAGGGAGTGTTAGTGTACTAATCGACAGTAAGCTGAACAGACATTAGAGAGACAGAGAGGGATTGAAAATCAAAGATAAAAAAAATAAAAAATAAGTAAATGAAAGTAATATCTATATATAAAATGAATTAAAATAAAATGGAAAATAGAAAATTAAAAAAAAAAAACCAAAAAACTTCCAAGTTTATATGCAATGCAGTTTCAGTCTTAATAATTTGGGTGTCCGTCTCAATCTCCAGTCCTGGAGTTGGTGCCTCAGATGTTGTTCTGTAGTTGTCTCATCAAAGGGGATGCATAAAGTAGAACAAAACTACACACTCACACACACACACACACACACACACAAAGCCCCACCAAGTGTCCCCAGTTCAAATGCAATACAGTTTCAGTAAGTTTTTCGGCTTGCAGGTGTAATTCGGTTGTTCTCTCATCAAAGGTAGGGAGAAAAAGAAAAAAAAGCGTCTGGAGACAGTTCTGGGGGTGGTATCTGCAACTGTGGCTTGCCTGCCTGCTGCTCTCAGCCTGTAGCTGGCGGTGTTATTTATGCAGATCTCTGGGGTGAGCTAGCACTCACCTGGTCCCACAGGCTTTGTTTGCTCAGAGTTCTCCTGTGCGGGAGCCTCTGCTACAGGCTTTCCCCTTTCCAAGCACTGGGAAAGGTGACACTGCCCCTGTGTTGTCAGGCCTGCATGTTTATTTACAGTTCATGTGGGAGGTGGGTCTTCCCCCCTCTCCTCTGAAGTCTTCCTCCCACTGCCACTTTCAGCAGCTTTCCTGCTCCTGCTTACTGGGCGGTGCTGCTGCTCCTGCTGGCCGCCATGTTTGTTTACAGTTCACGTGGGAAGTGGGTCTTCCCTCCTCTCACAAGCTTCCCCACTCCTGGTTGCTGGGCATGCACCCCGCTCCCGCCAGAGGCTCTCCAGCCCGCCCGGCTTGTTTATTTAAAGTCCCGGGAAGGATTCTCTTCCCCCAATCTTCAGTGCTCAGGGCGCCCCACCCTCTTTCCAGCATGTCTTAACTGTTCTTATTGCTTATTACTCAGTTTCTCTTTTTTTCCCGGTTGGAGGTCAGTCTGTCCAGGGGGCTAGGCTGCTCTGGCCCAGGCTTGTCTGTGGGGCTACCGTGGTACTGCGAAGCTCACCTGGTCCGTCTTCCCACACCATATGTACGCCAGCCACTGGCGGCCACGGGGACCCTCCTCGTTTCTCCGTTTAACGTGAAGTAGAGATTCTCTGCACCAGCTGGAGATGTGGAGGGGTCAAAGTTATGCCTTTTCTCAGTGATTATGCCTGCAAAGTATGTCTCCAGCGTCTCTCCAAGATTTCACTATAGGAGGGTCGCTTTCTGCTTCCAACCTCTAGCCGCCATCTTGGAATCTCTCAAAATTCTTGAACCTCTCTCCATTTCACACAAATGAAGAGTTCTTTCAAGTTGGTGGGAGTGGCTCTATGATTTCAAACAAACCTTGCATATTGAATTTTACTATTAAAAACTTTCATTTGTTTTCTTCTTTTAATTATTGCTTATTGGGGGTACATTTCTTATAATACATCATAGTTGAGTTAATCCCCTTCATCATCCTCATTTATCCTTTTTCCACCATTCCTAGAATAGTTTCAGCAGGTCTCATTTTTCTATTTACATACATGTATACAGAATATTTGCAACATATTCACCCTCTGACCCCATTTCTTTATATGCACCACTTTTCTCACTGGTACCATCTCCCACAAAAGGACCTGTTTTACCTTCCTGTTCTCCATTTTTGTAAAAAGATAACATTTTTGTTGTTTAAGATAGCTATACAGGGTGTTTCATTGTGACATTTCCCTGAATATATGTATTATAACCCAATTGGTTTATCCCCTCTATTTTTTCTTTTTACCTTAGTTCTCTTTATTGTGACTTCAAGAGATTTAAAAATTCTATATTAATTCTTGTATAGGAAGTGTATCAGTCATATTCACTTTCTTAACTTCTTTCATGCACCTTCTCTCTCTTGTATGTGACCTCCCCTAAGTGTGACCTGTTTTTCACAATATTGCATATATTTGGATCTGTATTTGTCAGGTATTCATTGCCACCTTTTGGGAAGTACTAGGGTTTAAAATCATTATCACACACAGCAAAATATTTTGTGGTATGCCATCAAATATCTCTGCCATCTGTTCAGTAATAATGCCATTATGATAACACAGTAATAACAGTCTTCTTCATGGTAAATAAAGTATCCTGTAGGATCCAATAGGGGAGATAGTACCAAGGAATGGGGGTCACAAAATGTATATTATAGTCCATTCCATGTACTTGTTCTGTTTCTGTATGCAAAATGTGTTTTAATGCCTACCTCTCTGTGGTTACTGCAATAGGGGAAAACCCCATTTATACAACATGTGTGACACTCAATTAAAGTCTGAAACTTAAGAAAACATTGATTATTGTTATTTTTATTTAAGTTTCCTATTAGTATGGAAATTGTGAGCTCATGGATGCATAAGATTTGAACTCAGGGCCTCATGCTTTGTAGGCAGGCACTTCACTTGAGCAGTCTCCGCTTTTATACTTTAGTTATTTTTCAGATAAGGAGACTTGCTTTTGCCCAGAGCCAGCCTCAGATGAAGATCCTCCTACTTTCAGCCTCCTGAATAGCTGGCACAGCTACCAGGCTTGGCTTGTTGATTGAGATGTGTTTTCCTAACTTTTTGCCTTGGCTGGCCTTGAACCATATCCTTCTAATCTCTGTCTCCTAGTAACAGGGATTGCATGCATGAACCACTATGTCTGGCCCAGTTTTTACCTTTTATGGTGCTTCCTATAGGGCCAAACATTAGAAGTAAAACAACTTTTATAATTCCTCTTCCCATAATAGGCACATAACTATACAAAGACAAAACCAAATGTCCTCTTACAAAAACAGGAAAATAGTAAATTCAATCTAAGGATATTTTATTGGAATATTAACTGGTATTGGAATATTGCTGCTAATGATATCTAAAAACTTTTGATAATTTTATACATAAATCACATATCAAGCAATATGATCCATTCCCTATATACACCAATTCCACCCAATCCTACCCAATGCAATTTTTTCAACTATTAATCAACAAGGATGGCAATGTTAGACTCAGAGACACTAACAATCTTCTCTATGACACAAAATAATAAATAAACCTGAGAGTATTACACACTAAATAATCGACTCTGTGTCAAATGCACTATTTTTATTGTTTTCAGTCCAAAAGAAAGTGTTAAGAAGAGTCCCCAAGATCTTAAACACAGGAACACCTGAGGTACATTTTTAAAACTCTGTACAGGAGAACCACATAGCCAAGTGGAGGAAGAGGGAGTGCTTTGGGCAGATGCAGCAGTTCAGACCCACTTCTCCACTGCCTATGAGCTGCCCTCCTCACCTGAGCCGAGAACTATGCCCAGATTCAGAACCCGTCCTGGATTGGCAATAATGGGGCTGCCTCACTGGTGCCGGCCTATGTGGTCCCCTGTGACCCGGTACCTGCCTGCATGTCCCCTCATGCCCACCACCCCGGTTCTGGGGACCAGCAGTATCACGACTTCCTGAGTGTCTCTGGGGTTGGCAAGCCACGTGGGCCAGACGCACATGGCAGCCTGTTCAGAGCGCAGCTGCTTCAGCCCAGGCCTCATAGCTACAAGCTGAAATGGAGAGCCCTGACTGCAAGACCTCGAGCATCGCTGCGCTGCATATGAAGGCCAAGGAGCACAGTGCAAGCCATCTCCTGGGCCACATGACACAGCCCTCCTGTCTGTCTGGTGCCCTTCCCCCACCTCAGGGGCCCTGGCCGTGCCCCTGCTCCCCAGGCCCCCAGCCTCTCTCAACTCTCCCCTTTGGAACCTGGCCTAGCCCAGGGGCCTGGCCCTCAGCACTTTCAGCCATGCCAAGTCTGAGCGTCCCCCCCCCCCCTGCATGCTGGGACAGAGTGAGTGGCAGACCCTGCCCCTCCCCAGCCACTGAGGCTGAGATATCCCTGCTGCTGGCCAAAGGCAGTGGAAAAGCCAGGTGGCCATCCTGCAGCTTCATGTCATTATAAGCTGAGGCCTTTTCTCTCCTCCTGCTCCTCTACCCTACCTGTTTGACCTTGAGTCAAAGGTAGGTTCTCTCTAGACCCAGTAGCAGCAATGGTCCGGTCTTGTCCCTTTTCTGTGTGGTCCCTGGTCACGGACCTATGGCTCTGTGTCTGAGGAACCAGTGCCCCTGCAGAGTGGGTTTCTGCCTTTCCTGAAAGTTTGTGGAATCTCATCTCTGAATCCAAGACATCTGGACAGCCACCAGGCTGATGGGCCTTGCCGACTGCAGTCTGGTGTCCCCTCTGCTGGACACACCCAGGAAGTGGGCCAGTGGGGAGAGGAGTTGGAGCTGAAGGACCCTGCTGTATCATCTGGAAGGATGGCCAGGCCCCAGGGGAGCTGTGAGCCAAACCTCTCACTCTGAGACTCTGGTTCCTGTGTGCACTGCAGGAGAGGAGCCAGGCGTGAGGGGAACTGAGAGCATGTCAACCCCTGCCCCACACCAGGCACCATGGTGCTGGAAGGCTGCAGGGAGGGCCAGGTGGCCGGGCTGGGTGCCACTTGCAACAGCTGCTGTGGAGAGGGCTGGGCATCTGGCTGTCCATCAGCCAGTGCATCAGCCTCTGCAGGGTCCCTCCATGAGAGTCTAGGTGCTTGTCCCTTCCTTGTCCTATGGGTTGCTCACTGGGGCTGCTCAAGAATTCTGGAGCGGAAGGATTACAACTTGGAATAAATAAGCTAGGGCTCTGTGCCATGGTGGCAGGACTCAGAGCTGTGGGCAGGCTCTGCCAGAGGATGCATGGCTGTGCTCAACTCCAGGCAGGACAGCCTGTAGTGACTGCCCCTGTCTAACACTCTGGCATAGTGTCACATCTGCCTGGAGCCTGGCATGTAGGGGGTGTCATATCCTCAAGGCCTAGGGGACAGTACTGCTCCCTGTAGCCCTCCACACCTCTTAGAGCTGCCATTTCACTTCATCCCCAGGGGCCAAGGTCAGCGCCCCTCTCCTGCCTCTGGAAGGTTCAAGGCCAAGCTCCACTGGGTCAGCGTGCTTGGGTGGCAAGATCCATCCTAAAGCCAGTTTCCCACCTGCAGGAAACAGCTCCTGCCAGCCTGTCTTTGACCCCACTAGGGGTGGCAGGGCTCTAGCCCTCACCTGAGCTGATAGCAACAGACCTACCCTTGGGGTTAGGCCTTCTCTGGAGAGCACTGGTCTTTTCTGCCTTACTACCTTGACTCCTTTCAGTGGAGGAGAGCTGGGGCCCCGAGCTCATAGGTCCTGGATGATACAGAACAGCTCAGGTTGGGCTGAGAGAACCATGTCCATTGAGGACTGAAAGATCTGTCTGGGAACTGCCCCAAGGTCTTAATAGGCATGGGGGGTGTCACAGTCCCTCTCCCACCATCTAGTGACACTGTCTGCTCTGGATGGATCTGGTTTTGGCCTCCTCTATTAAAAGTCAGACCTGTTTGTGAATCGCAGCCCAGTTGGATTTAGGGTAAAAGGGTTCCTCACATTGAATGAAGTGGTTCCTGAATGCCTTGGCTAGAGGTGCTTCAAAATGGTTGAGGGTCCTGGAGTCCTTGCCAAGTTCTGAGTTTCACAAAATAGCTCATTGTCCCCCAGAGACTAGCAAGGCAAGGCGGGACATAAGGCTAGGAGTTCTCTGGTTCCTTCTAAATGCTCTGGTGACTGCAGAAGCACGTGGGGGGATATTTCACTACAAGCTGCTTCTCACACATGAAAAAAATCAAAACTAAGAGTGAAGAGGACCAGGACAGCTCCAGAAGACAAGGACAGGAGAGAGCTTTTGGTAGACTCTTCTGGAAGGAGCCCCTGACATTTAATTCTCTGTCTGTTTTCTGAGCAACTAGGTTCCATGTTAGGCAAATTTCAGCTCAAAAGCTTGAGAAGAAAAGGTCCCCATTAATAGAAAAAAGGGTTTGTGGCTATGGCCACATGTCTGCCAACACAGCCAAGCATGGCTGATTAAACATCGATGGTGTAAAATGTCGCCACTCACCTCTACACAGGTAGCCACCTACCCCCATGCTTTCTGTGCCTTGCCCTCCAGGGCCTGCCTAATGCTAAGGACCACACAATTACTTGGAGGAGTTGGGGAGGAGTCAAGATTCCCTTTAGTCAGTTCAGTCCCTTCACCTCAGAAAAGAGTGATCAGGGCCTGAGTGGAGAAGGGACTGAGGCCATGCTGCCCAGGCTCCAAAGACCTGGGTTTCAGTTGGTACATGGGTGACCCAGTGCTGCTCAGAGCTCCCCTTGTGCCTCCATCAGCAGCTCAGCTCTCCAGAAGAGAACCTCGGGGCCCTGGGTCCTCCCCAGGCAGGTCCTCTGCAGCAACCGCTAGGATGGCCTAGCAGGCTGGCTGGCTTCCAGAAGCCAGGTCTCATGAAGGTGGGTGAGAGACTACCTGTTAAGTGGGCTCACTGCTAAGTGGATAAGCTGAGAGTGAAGGATTTTTTTGGCTATGTGCCTAGCTGCTCAAAGATGCCATTGTGGGCATGCAGCAGAAGGGTAGCCAAGATCCAGGCCCGCAGGGAGCATGGCTCAGTATGTCAAGACTCCATACTAAGATGCTGCTCCCAGGCCTGGGAACTGAGACTCTGGGACAGATAGGCCTGTCTTCATGTCTGGGATGGCACTTGGAGGACACAGGCTTTCATGACTTTCCTTGAATTCTTTTAACTAATACTTGATTCTCGCTCTCTGGACCATCCTCAAGCTTTCAGAAGCAGGGTGATTGGGGGTGAGGGTGAGGGAGCATGAGTGAGGGGACCCCAGTACATACTCTGTGCCCCACTGGGACTCAGCTCTGATGCTCCACTTGTCATCATCCCTACTGGATAGACAAGGGAATGTTTCCATGGAAAACCACCTCGTGCCCCTGTAAGCAGTCACTCACTCTGGGGCTATCCCTGGGGGGGATACAGTCTCTGAGGGCTCTGCCCACAGGTACAGAGGCAAATCAGGCCCAGCTGGGGGAGAGTGGCTGGCATTCTGGCCTCCAGGGTCATAACCATGACCGTCCCATTAGAAAAGATGATAAAACTCTATTTCCCAAAGTCTCCATCAGCCCCACTTCATCAATAAGGCTGCTGGGGAGAGGAAAGGAGGCTCTATTGAACATTTTCTCCCTCCCCTCGCCTTTCTCACCCTTCATCACACATAGAGCTAGGCCTTTGTACTACACTGATTTTGAAGGACAATTTTTCAGTGTCTAATAACCCTGTTTGGGTGTGCAGTGGTTGAAACAAAGAGAGAGCGTGAGTGCGAGATGGAACATGAACCTCAACTGATACTTGTGTTTCATTGTAAGATATTTTAAACTATGTATAAGTGCAACTTCTCCTTTAGCTTGGCCTGGGGGTGGAATATTCAATATATATTATAAATATTAAGAATACATTAAAAATTTCAGAAAAAATGTAAAAAAAACTCTGTACAGTTTCCTAAGTAGAAATGAAGTTAAGACTAAGTATGTCACTTTTTATATCTGTGTGCACTAATATAAGCCCAGAGAAAAGGAGTACAAAATCTGGAATAATATAATGGATTTTGCAGTACAGAGATATTTTGCTTAATTACCATGTTCCAACATTTTTGGTGACTTTTCTTATAATCTAAAGTTTTCTGTCTTATAATGAGAGTCAGTTGGTGTGACCCACACGCTCCACTCTGTGTATCAGGAATCATCCTCAAAAATACTATAGTGAGAAAGAGGCCTATTCCTGGGATGACAGGAATGTGAAATGACTTGTGGCAATAAAGGGGACATCTGCCAGGAGTCTCTTTGATATGTTGTCCTGCTTCTTTAAATTAGGCAATCATATGAAAACACTCAGTCGTGCCCATTTCTAATCTAACAATCTACTGCTGGTGACATGCCTAATATTTGCTCTTTCATTTTTCTGTAATACAATAATCTTGACAGTGCTAAATATTGGAAAACTTGGGCACATGAAATGATTCAAGCAACCTGGAGCAAATTGTTTAGGGCCCATAATGTAGAAAGGCCTGGAAAGTAAGTTCATGATTTTTGGAGCTGCCAATCTTCTCTCTCTTCTTCTCATTGCCATCAAAAATGCTTGCAGAGTGCTCAGGAGGCGTTGAAAGTGTGGCTTTTATGGGTTACATGTGTCTATGGGAGTACAAACTATGGATGGAATGAAAATTTTGAATACCATTTCTGTAGCATATACTTCATATTTGACATAGCTGATATTTTCTTATGCTGTCCTCTCATCTAGCTACCCAAACAGTCATTGTTCCTTTCATAATAGGGAAAGAATTATGAAATTCTTTCTAAGAAGCCTTCCCACATCCATGGGCAGCCTATGTACTTACTGGGTTTTATGCGCTCTCTGTTGAGTTCATGACAAGGAGTGATGAGCCAAAACTAGCCCCAATGGCTGGTATTGAAAGATGCAGTGTCAGACATGAGCTTGTGGATGCAACAATGGAGGAGGCACTTATGGACCTAACTTACATTATGACATCAAACTGCAGAGATAAGAGGTGCGGAGTGGTTATTGGTGATTATATGAACTTGAAGGCTCAATGCACAGAGCTTATCATTAGTAAATTGGTTCGTGTTATTGTC